GCGCGGGCAACGCGGCCCTGGGCAGCTCTGGAGTCTGGCGGCGCAGCGAGGGGACCTGGAGCGCGACGCTGACACGAGGGGTTCCAAGGCCAGTGCAAGGCTCGGGGGCGTGGGGCACCCGGCTAGGAGCACAAGGGAGCGCTCAGGGCGCGATCTTCCAGCCGAGCCGCCACAAGCCCCACTGGGCTCTCAGCAGCCGGCGCGCTGGTAGGCGGGGGGAGGGCGCGCGGGGCGGGCATGTCTGGTTCGGTGTCTGGTTCCCGTTGTTGTGTCTGGCTAATTCCCTGGAAAGAAGGAGGCTACCTGCTCCGGGGACTGTGGACTTGGGTGAGACAAGGTGGGAGGCAGAAAAGGTCCATATCTTTGCGTTCTCCCTCGCAGCTGGCCAGGAAAGAACCCCAGTCACCTTGCACTCCAGACAGCTAGAAGGCAGCGGGTCGGAACCTCGCTGGTCTCCCTCTTGTCCCACCTGGTTTTGAACCATCTCTAAGTCTAGGGCGAGGCATCGTCCCGGTTTCGGACTGTGTTCTGAACCCAGCCCCCTGAGGATCCCAGGTTTCTCGCCGTAAAGATCCGGGGAGGTAAAAAAGGGGAACGTCACCGGGGAAACGAACTTGCTCCCAACGCACAGGAGGTGGCGAACAAAGATCGGCGCTCGGCGCTGGCGCGATGGCGCCCGAAGGCCCCGGGACAGAGAGCGTGCGGGCGGATCTGAGTGGATCGAAGACCCCGCAGAGAAGCGCCCGCCGGCCACCGCCTCCACGGCCTCCCTCCGACCCCCACCCGGCCCGACACCTGCACTCGCAGAGCAACGCGGGCGGCGGGTAGACCACGGCTGCCAGGGAAGTAACAGGTTACCGCCGTAGTCGCGCCCTCAGCTGCTCCTGCCCTGGCGCCCTTTGGGGAGACGGGCGCTCGCAGCCTGGAAGCGCAAGGGAAAATCGCTCTTGCCCCACTTCAGCGCGAGCCGCAGCCTCTGTGGGTCTCCAGGGCACGAATCCGGCGGGCAGTGACAAGACGAATGCGGAGGGCGAGGTGTGGAGGGTGAGGGTCCCCGCGCGGCGCACCCACGGAGAGTCGGGACTGGGGCGGCGGGAAGCGCTAGGCTCGCGAGGACGGGTGGGCAGCGCCGAGGGTAGGGGTCGGCAGAGAGGCCATGGCTGGAGAGGACCAGCTGGGCGCCTGGAAATCCAGGTGGTCGCGCGCCTACCCACCTCGGCTCGGCGACCGCGAGCCGGGCGCT